TATGTTTGCTGTAACTGGGCCTGCCTCAGTCTCCCCTACCTCTATTAATTCCTTACATCTGAAGATGATCAACTTTGGTCAAGTGTCTGTGACTGGGGGGTAGGGGTAGGCAGAGGGGCGGCCTCAAAGCGAAGAGCCTTAGGGAGGGGCTGGGCATGGGGCAGGGTGGCCCTGGGCCTTTCTTACCACTTAGAGGGCCTCCCGGACTAGAGCCCAAGGACTGGCCCCAGGACCAGAGACTTCTTCCGGTAGGGCGTGCCCACCGATTGGAGCCAGGGTGGGAGCAAGGAGGCTACTCCTGAAGGCAGGAAGGCAGGTCTGCTGGTTCAGGGGGAGCAGGATCACCCAGCCAGAGCATCTCAGAGACATGCCCGCCCATGTCCCTGCGCCCTGCCGGCTGCCCCAGGCGAGTTCCCTGGGCAGCATTCCTGGCTACCCCAGCCCCCATAGACCAGGCTGCCTTCCGTCCTCTGGTTTTTATTTGTGTGGCCCCCTCAACAGAGCTCCCTGTCCGTGGGGGTGACTCCAGAGGATACATGGGTGGGTGGTGGGGTGGCAATGCTGGACCACCAGCTCCGGGGGCAAGTGGGGGAGACGAATGAGGGAGTGTCCAGCACGGAGCCGGCCAGGCACCAAGCTTGCCAGGAGGGGGCAAGTGTCCCCAAGGTGGTCCCCCTGGCCCCTCCGGCTGGTCAGTTCCTCTCAGAGCCCTGCTGCCTCCAGCTGCGAGCAGAAATGGACAGCACAAGGGTCCTGCTTTTCCCCAGAGATGTCTGGATGGGGGGCTCTGCGGCAAGGTGGCAGGCGTCCATGGCCCGGGCAGTGGGGCTGGCATGGCCACCCCACTCCTCAGCTGGGGCTCAGTGCCGGGCTGCCCTCGGGACTGTTGCTCATCAGGCACTCGCTGGATTTGAAGCTCGCCAGGGACTTGCAGCTGGGGATGGAGGCCAGGGAGCCGCAGAGACCCAGCATGGAGGGCGTGGGGTCCTTCCCTGGGGAGAGAGGGTGGGTGAGGCCACTTGGCATGCGAGTGGTGTGAGAGGGAGGGGGTGAGGGGATTTTCCCTGCTCACTCCTGGAACATTTGTCCTTTTCAATTAACCTTGATGAAACACCTGCTGGCACCATGCCCAGTGTTGGGCACCAGGGACACTGTTGTGTAATCACCAGCTTGGGGCTCTGTCTCCCCCAGAGGGTCAGCCTCTCCTTTTATTATGCAGGCAGGGAGCACTTGGCTGTGCTCCAGGCACTGGGATACAGAGAAGGGCCCAGAGATCCCTGCCCTCGTGGAGCTCACAGTCTGGTGGGGGGGATAAGACAAGGTCACAAACAAGTGTGGCAGGTGGATACACCCCCATGGCCTGCTTTGTCTGAAAGGTCTAGGGTCATTGATACAGAGTGGCTTAACGTGTGGCAGGAACTCCAGGCCCTGGGAGAGCTGGGCTGAGAAACCCCGAAAGGCAGCCAGGCACAACACAAGAGGCATGCGTTCAAGTCCTGAACATTCACTTGGCAAGGAGCCACTAACTTGGCTGTGAGCTTCCTGGCAGCCAAAGAAAAGAGGGCAAGGGGAACAAGGTTCAGGTGAGCACTGCCAGTCTGTGAGCCAAGCGTTGGTTCGTGAGCCCCTCGAGGGTGACAGCTGACAAGACAGCAGTTACTCCCACCAACACCTCCCTGTCCCAGGAGGGAGTGGGGCTTGGGGGGTGAAGGACCTGCAGCCAGAGTCAGCATGGGCTCCTGCCCCAAAGCTAACCCAAGCTTTTGGCGGCTGTCCTATTAAGCTCTCAGGAGGGAGGGGGGTGGCTGGCCTGGGGGCGCTCACCGATGGGGCCCCAGGGCTCCTCTCGCTTGTTGTCCCCCAGGCGCTGGGAGTCTGAGCTCAGGCTGGCCTCTGCTGACAGCGGCTCCGTGCTCATGAAGCTGTGTCTGCAGCAGAGCACGTGGCAGGGTTTGCAGGCTGCTGCCTGCGGTCCCCAGGATGCCATTGCCCCCGGTGTCCCGTGGCCCGGCTGGGACTTACCTCCGGTACAGCTTCGGGTTGTTGGAGCCCTCGGCCCCACTGAGCGTCCCCAGAGATGGCCACTGGTTGACCAGGGGTGTGGTGAGCTCTTTGGAGCCTTGGGTCAGGGGAACGTGGTCACCGGGGATCAGACCTGTCCTGGGGGGGAGGGGAGGGGAGTTCAGGCCTGACTGAGAAGGGAGAAGCCGGCAAAGGAAGCTCGGGGTGGGGGTCAGGGGCAAAACCCTGGGTAGTAGTAAAGATCTACTTGTGTGGGGTGACCACTAATGATGGGGGTGAGAGGGAGTGCTGGGGTGTTGTGGAGGCTACCGGTGGAGACTAGTGTGCAAATCCCTGAAGGGTGTCTTGAGGGTTACACTGGAAGATCATGGGGTGACGCTGGACTGCTAGGGGTGAAGTCAGGGGCCGCTGAGTGTGTAGTTAGGCTGTGGGTCTCTTGAGGATTGAGCAGCAAGGCTGAGGGGCCCAGGAGTAATGCTGGGGGTCTCTGTGTGGAATGCCAGGCAGCCATTGCAGCTGAAGTCTGTGGTCCTGGAGGGTGAAATTGGGGGTGCCTGGATCTTACGTTGGGGATCTTTGGAGATAATGTGAGGGGCCTTGGGGGAAAGGTAGTGGTTTATCCATGAGGAAATGCTGGTGGTTAGTTGCGCTGGGGCTGGTGTCAGGCAAGGTGACTGATGGGAGTCATGGGGTGGCATCACTCGGACCCCCCTGGACCAGGGGGTTCGCGGGGCGGGGCAGCAGCACGCTCACAGCTGCTCCTGCAGCTCCAGGATCACGCCCTCCAGCTCCCGCTTCTCGCGCTGGTTCTGCGCCGCCGCCTCCTCCAGCTGCAACTGCAGCCGCCGGTTCTCAGCCTCCAGGTCCTTCAGCTGCGACTCGCGCAGGCGCACCAGCTCCTCCAGGTAGCCCTGCGGGGCGCCGGCTCAGCCTGGGCTGCCAGCGCCAGCCCCACTGCCCACCCCCGCGCCGGCACTGCCAACCCCCGCCGCGCGGCGCGCACCTTCTGTGCGTAAACGATGCGGAACTTCTGTTCCATCTTGTGCCACTTGCTGTACCAGCTGTCCTCGTCGGTGACGAGGGGCAGGTACGGGTGCTCGGGCGAGTTGTCCTCGCTGGTGCTGCTCTCGGCGCTGTGGCGCTCCTCCTCGTCCGTCAGGTAGTCGTAGCTTCAGGGAGGCAGCGGTGGGCACGGGCTGGTCCCCCGCTCCGCCCCGCCCCACGGGATGCTGCCCCGGCGGCCCCCCACCCCCATCTCCCGGCAGAGCCCCCCGTCACCTGAGCTCCCCACAAGCCCAGCCGCTCACCTCTGGGTGAACTTCAGGTAGGGCGTGTAATCAATGACCACCGGGGTCTTCCCGTCCAGCACTTCGCCCTTCAGGCAGAAGCTGGGACAGAGAGCAAGGGGTGGGGCCAGGTAGGCGAGGAGGAGAGGGGGAGTGACCCCACCCCTCACGCTGCCGTGCCCACCTGAAATCGATGGCGCTCAGTCCAATCAGCATGCCGGTGAGGACCGTGGCTTCCTCCCGAAGCATGATGGCGCCAGAATCATAGAACCGCCTGAGGGACAAGGCAGGAATGATGGTCCCGCCCCCTGGCCGCCAGAGTCCCCCGCCCCTCCTCTCCAGTCTCCAGCCTGCGGCCGGCCTCAGATGGCCTCCCCTCTGGGGGAGCAAGTATTGGAAAGGATGCTTCCGCCGGCATGATCGGCCCGCCCCCACTACCTTCCTGCAAACTCCTCAAGGACTGGGTCAGCCAGATCCCCAAAGCCAGGCAACACGTTTAAATTGGCGCGTGGCACTTAGCAAGTGTTCGGCAACGATATGGATGTGAACTCTGAAACTTGAGGACAGATGTCTTAACGATTGGGTGTGGGGCCGCCACGTTGGGGGTGAGGGAACTTGGAAGGTTATAGGCCCCAGCTGCATCTAGCAGCTTCAAACACAGGGACCTGACCTCCTGCAAACCTGGGGCTGAAACCGCTGGGCCCCTATTCCCAGGGAGCGAACAGAGACCCGCTGCAGTTAATCTGGGGAGAGGTAGGGCTGTGTGTCTGACGGAGGTCATGGCAGCAGGCCAACAAAGAAACCATGCATGCGTGAGGTGTGCCCAGAGATCTACCCCAAGGTAGAGCTATGCATGATGGGAGTGGTGAGGAATCAGCCTCACCTGGCTGGCATGCACGTTAGCATGCTGGGCTGCTAGCCACAAGGTCTGCAGTTCAAACCCACCTGCGACTCCTTGAGACACAGGCTTTCTGCTCCCATCCAGATCCACAGCCTGGAAAAGCCACAGGGGCAGTTCTACCCTGTCCTATAGTGTGAGTTGGCATCCCTCCATGGCAGTGAGGAGTTTGAAGATTTAACATGAAAGTATGGGTAGGGGTGCTAAGAGGGGATCGCAGGAGGTGCCCTGGTGGCATAGTGGGCAAGTGTTGGGCTGCAGTCTGCAGTTTGAAACCATCCGCCACTTCCATGGGAACAAGACCAGGGTTTCTACTCCCACAAAGAGTCTTGGAGACCCACAGAACGGACTCAGTGGTAGTGGTTTCGGTGGACCATCTGGGGAAGGGAAGCTAGCATAGCAGTGCATGCTGGGACGAGTGGTCCAGGTACAGACATGGCTGCTGGGACTTAAAGTAAGGTGCTTTCAGACAGTGACCATGCATACTGGGGCCAGGCTGACAGGTGGGTCTGACCTGGTGGTTCGGGTGTCACGCAGAGCTGTGGTGATGTATTCCGACATGCGTTTCTCCATCAGTGCCACCCGGATCCAGGCCCGGCCCTGCAAAGCACATCCACCTTTGTTTGCAGACCCAGAGCGACCCTTGTGACTTTCCTGTCACCCCTCTTACAGGGCTGAAGACCCAGGAGCAGGCAGGCCCCCTCTACCCCGAGCTGGGAGCGACAACCACACACACACACACACACACACACACATCCTCCAGGCAGCCCCTCACCTTGGCTCGGGCAGTGCTGATGTTCTCCATGTTCTCGATGCTGCTCACGCAGTTGTTGGGCACTTTGCTGCAGGCCAGCCGGATATAGTCCCAGAAGCCCCGCTGTCCGTCCGAGCTGAACCAGCTCACTGGACCTGCTGGGGCACAGGCTGAGCCAGGGCAGGGAGTTTGGGGAGGGCCCACGTCATGGCGCACGCACGTAACAGCCCCCGACGTGTGTGCACAGGCATGCATGCGGTCAGAGGGTACACTGCCATAGAGCTCGTGTCCACTGATAGGGCTGGTGGGCATCCACTGTGTGCGGCCCGAGTGCCCCCTGGCCACCTCCCAGCTCCCTGTCTGCGGGGCTGTGCAGAGCCCCAGATGGAGCCAAGGTCAGGAGGAAAGATCAGAAGCAGTGGATGTCCTTGACTGGGGTGATGGTGCTGAGGGTGGGGAGTGGGGAAGGGCTAGGGGGGTGGGGGGTGGCAGGAGCCTGGATCCACCTTTGAAACGGTGACTGAGGATCTGCTCCAAGATGGCTGCAAAGTTCACGAACTCCTCCGAGGAGTCATCGATGGGCTCCGCTGTGTACTTCTCCAGCAGGGTTTTCACCGAGAACCTGCAGGGGAGGGTGGGGGGCGGGGTCAGCTTCAGATGAGAAGACCCCTGGGGGTGGGGGGAAGGGGTGGGTAAGAGTCTCAGGCCGAGAGGGAGTTATGGGCAGAGAGGAGGGAGGGTGTGGACGTTGTGGGGTGCAGAGCGACAGAGAGGTGGGTGACCAGAAAGAACACAGTGGCCAGAGAGTGGTACTATAGAACAGGTGGAGTGACAGGTGGAAGGTGGGGAGGGAGGATGGCAGGTAGGAGACTGATTGATGCAGTGGGTGGCAGGAGAGATGACAACCAGAGAGGGGCAGCCTAGGGAACAAAGGGTAGGGAGATCAATCGGGCAGAAAGCCGAGGGGCCATCCCAGCGCCCCATCTCCAGATGTCTCGTTCTCTCTGGCTCCTGCCTCAGGGTCCTTCTCTGTGTGTGACTTGTAGGTCATGCAGGAAGAAGACGCTCATCTCTCCCCTACCCTGAGCTGGACAGCCTGCTGTCACTCCTGGGGAGTGTGGCATCACCTGTGCCAGGACATGTGATTGGCACTGTGCACATGGAACGTAGGCAGGCATGGGTGGCCAGGTGGGCTCTCAGCAGACGGGTGCCACTTTTCCCCCTTTCCTTCCTAGCTCAGCCGCCCACATACCAGCTGCCTGGATCCAGGCGGTGCAGGCGGGCGGGAAGGATGTGGAGGGTGTGGGTCTGAGGTGCACATCCATCGGGCAGGAGGGGAGGCGATGGCAGCATCGCCCTGGGCAGGGAGCTTCTCAGGGAGACCACGGAACTGAGCCAGGCAGTGCCCCCTCTCTCTCTGGGCCTGCTGACAGCCTCAGGCTCCATTGCATCCACTTCCCTGCAGTCACCACTGTCTGCAGTCGGTGCGCCAGGCTGCCTCCACTGCTCCCAACATGCCCTGACCGCCCTGTTGTGGGTGACACAGCTGGGGTGGAGGGCCCAGGAGCATGCGGACGCCTGGGACTGCCCTTCCTTCCTCAGCGTATGACACCCCTGAATACCATGTCAAACATCACAACGTGCGCAGCACGTGTGGTGTGGTATCTCCACCATTTCTCACGGCAGCCCTGGGAGGGGTCTGCTTACTATCATCCCTGCCTCCATCTCCACCCCCATCCTGATTTTACAAGCTTGAAGAGGTTGGCTGATCAACAGGACGGCGCCAGACCCTTTCTGCTACATCTGTAGCCTCCTAGGGACTGTCCCACTCGGACCCGAACAGCACCTGACTCCTCTGCCCTCTCTACTCCACCCTGGAGAGCTCCCTCCCGGAAGTACCGCCTCGGAGGAGACCCTTAGGCCAGCGGCCCTGACCTGAGCCAGAGCCAGGTAGGCCGTGGTTGAAGCTACGGTAGGGAAGGCAGGCCTGTGGATCCAAATTTTGTTTTCTTGTCACTGTGTGGCCTTGGACATGTCACTCAACCTCTCTGAGTCCCTTTTCCTTTGAGCAAACAAAGATAAACGTGCCTGTCCCCGTCTATGTTATCCCCATCTCAGGCAGGACTGCAAGGAGGGGCATGTGTACAGGCCACCGGGCAGGCAGGGGGTGGGGAGAACCGGGTCAGTAGTGAGAGGCTAGTCCAACAGAGGGCATCTGTGTTTACCTCCCGTTACTTGCAGTCATCCGTGTCACCCCTCCACAGGGGCCTGCCTGACTCCGCAAGGGCCTGGGGCCAGGTGTGGTGAGTTAGCCACCTGCCATCTGCCCTCAGGAGGGCTGTACAGCTGGTAGAGTCCCCAGGAGCACCACTGTGAGCTCCCCGTCAGGAGGTGCACAGGCTGCTGCCGGTTACCATGGAGATAGGGAGCCTAGGGCCCAGGGGAGCCTTTGGCCTGCTAAAGGGAGCCTTCCTGGGAGCTGGAGGCAAACCACGTGACAGGGAGAGGCAGCAGGAGCCTCAGGGGTTTCTGAGCCTTGGTTGTGCCCTGAACCCCCAAAGCCTGCCCTTACCCTAGCTGATTCCCACCCCCTCCAGTCTACCAGAGCCTATGCCTCTCAGTCCCCCTCCATACTCACGCTTCAGTGACCCTGACAGACAAAAGGAAAAAAGGAACCGGGAGGTCCAGTGGGGGGTGGGAGGGGTGTCATCAGGTCAGACTCTTGCTGCCTGCCAGGCCCTGCAGGTACCCTGCCAAAGCCATTCTCAGGTATGGGCAAGGGCACGGTGAGGCTCCCAGGGCCAAGTATGGTCGGGAGACCTCCCCAAGGTTGCACAGTGAAGTAAGAACTTGAACCTACAACTGTTTGGCTCCAAGGCCAAAATCTTTCTCTCGCCCCATACTGGTGGGTTGGGGGTGGCAGGTCAGGCCCAAGTTGCTCTGACTCCTCCAGGACGCAGCACAGCAGTTTTGCAAAAGGCCTGATGGGCCGGCCTGGGCAGCAGGGCTAGCAGAGTGTGCAGCAGACAGGGCTGGGTGTGTGCCCAGCCTCTGGATGGAGCTACAGGCAGAACTGGGGCCTCAGGTGGACACTGATTCCTAAGGGAGTGGTCAGGACCAAGCCTGTGACAGGGCAGGTGAGGTTGACAAAGGCGGCCTGCTGAGCCCTGCACCTGAGGTCCCCCTGCCCTTGTGGAGTTTAAGCCCCAAGGCCTGGAGGCTGGCAGGGAGGTGGCCGGTGGAGAAGGCACTGGCCTGGGGACCCCTGAGGGAAAGGTGGGCACAGATGAGACCGTAGGGAGAGGAGCTGGGTGGCTGGTCCCCTCTTTGCTCACTCACTGCAGCTCGGAGTGGGAAGGACCACTTCCTGGGTCCCAAGAGAGCAGGTGAGTCTCCCCAACACTGCGACAGCCAGCCAGCCCCACCTTGAAGGGCCATGGGCCCTACCCCCATCCTCCTCTCCTTGAACCTAGAGGACTCAGACAGGACCTCTGCCCAGGCTACCCTGCCACAGGCTGCAGCTGCCCAGATCTGGGTGGAGGAGAGCCTCTTAGGCCCCATTGACAGGGGTGCGGGGGAGGGTACTCCAGATCATTCATCTCCTCACCCCACCCCCAGCAACGGAGCCAGACGTCCTCCTCCCCCTCACACACAATGTCACTTCCTGGTTCTCACAGGAAGCTGCAGTGTCAATTAGACCCCCCCACCCCCTGGGTCCCCGGCTGAGCAGAGCAGAGGCCTGTCTGGGCCTACAAGGGACCAGGCTCCCAACGCATGCCCCTTTCTGGGCCCAGGAGGGGCCTTGGACATCCACCTTTGACCCTTTGCACCCCTCCTGGCCCTTCCCGGAGCTGTGCTCCCCTCGGAGGTCTGGGTTGCCGCCGCCCTAGCTCCCGCCCACCCGCGACCCCCGCCGCCCGCCCTCCGCGCACCCACCTGCACACGGTGATCAGGTTCCTCCGCTCCACGGCCACGTTGCGGGAAGACGCCTTCTTGGAAGACAGCCCCAGAGCCATGGTGGTCTGGACAAAGCTCGCTTCCATCCAGATGTGCGGCCGCTGCTGCCGCCGCCCGCTGCCCCCACCCGGCCCGGCGTCCCGGCCCCCC